ATTATTAGCCCTGCTAATTTGCTGACTGTTTGGAGCATTTGCAAATCCACTGTAAAAAGGATTTTTAGATTTTTGAACGGTAGTCCAGTATTGTACTGGACTACATTTAAAGGCCTGATGTGGCATGACACAGAGAAATATCAGCTACTTAAACCTATGAGATGACATGCTGAGAGTTTCAGAAAGCGTTCACAAAGCTCAAAAGGTAATTGAGACCTTCTTTTCAGTTTAACAGTGCAATCACAGCTGTTAGTGGATGACGAAACAGCCCCTTATCTACAGCATTCCGTTGTGATTTTTACTGCTGCAGCGTGTCAGCCTGATCAGACCACAGTCTACACATAAATAGGACTCTAGCTTTTAGTTTTCACGTTTTTTTCTTTTTTTTTTTTTAAGGTAAGACTAATATTTTTTTTGGCTGTATAAAGACTGTAATTTTTTAAAAAGTAAATCCAACATAGGGATACAGTGCAAATAACCTACCCACTCTGTCATTTTTTTAAGAATAACACTTGGCACTTTTGTACAAAAAGCAGGAGTCTGAGTAATACAGAATGTACTTCTGTTTGCACTTGTGCAGTATGGAGACTGTGCTGTAAATACAGGATTGTTTCTGTGATTGAATTCTGTTGCATGAATGCTGCATGTGAAAAAACTAGATTCAGCATTTCATTTTTTGTTCTGTTGATGAAGTATTTTTCCTTTATGGTGATGGTAGGTTACTGTCTTTCCAATGTTCAGTTTGGGAAATGCAGGTGTTGTGCAGGTGTAGTGCAGGGAGTGGAGAGTTTGTAACACCCTGTGTGTTCACATGATATTTAATTTCTTCCTTTATGGAAATTCAGGGAGACTGTAAGTTGATAGTTGGTTCACTCTGAGGAGACTGTAAGTTGATAATTGGTTCACTCTGGCCTTTCTAGACACATGGGAGATGGGAGTGACTGTAAAATGTATTGGTTTGGTAGTTATTGTTACATGAGCCAATGAATGAAACCAAAGGAATTAAGAATGCTGTTTGTTGTACAGTACAAAGCTGCTTTGTTTCACTTCTCTTTATGTTCTTCAGACCAGCTGCAGAACTTAAAGCTCCTTATGCAAACTGGCCCTGTGTTATCTGCAACACACTGAGCATTGTCTTAATGGTTATAATTGATACCCAGTTTAAATGTATTTCAGCTGTTGCTTGGGGTTCTCTTTCCTATTATGTCATCTTGAAAAAAACATAGCTTTTGGTAGTGAGTCACTTCAAAATAAATTAAATTCATGGTCATACTAAGAGGTAGAAATAGCCTGTTGTCCAAACTCAGAGTAGGGCTAATTTGTCTGTTGTTCCAATGGTAATATATTCTGTACTGTATGTAATGAACCAGTTTCAATAAATGTAAGAACACACTGTGCAATCTATATTTAAGCAATAAAATAAACCAAAATTTAAAAATCAATCTTTTCTAAGGTGTCAGTTAATTTTTACTGCTCACAATTTATATATTAATTACTAATTTTGTAGCATTTAAAATACCCCTCAGTTTGCACACCCATTTGTTTTTTGCAGATACTACAGCATTGCATTTTTATTAAACTACTACATTTATTTACTATTAAACCTGGACAGGCTTGAGAGGTGGGGCTGTGAGAATCCTGTGAGGTTCAACAAGGCCAAGTGCAAGGTCCTGCCCCTGGGGTCAGGGCAACCCCAAGCACAAACACAGGCTGGGAGAAATGGATTGAGAGCAGCCCTGGGAAGGACTTGGGGGTGTTGGTAGGTGAGAAGCTCAACAAGTCCCAGCAATGTGCTCTGGCAGCCCAGAAACCAAAGGTGTCCTGGGCTGCACCCAGTGCCCCATGGGCAGCAGGGCAAGGGAGGGGATTGTCCCCCTCTACTCCGCCCTTGGGAGACCCCCCCTGAGGTTCTGCATCCTGCTCTGGGGCCTCCAGAACAAGAAGTGCACTTGTCCAGAGGAGGTCACAAAGTTGATCAAGGGGCTGGAGCATCTCTGCTGTGGAGACAGATGGAGTTGGAGCTGTTCATCCTGGAGGAACATTATTTCCCCTGGCTCTGGGAAGACTTTATAGCACTTTGAAGTACCTAAAGGGGATTCAGGAGAGCTGAAGAGGGACTTTGGGAAGGGCATGCGGTGGTAAGACAAGAAAGAATGACTCCAAATTGAAAGAGTAGGTTTAGATTAGATATCAGGAAGAAGTTCTTTCCTGTGAGGGTGGTGAGGCCCTGGCACAGGCTGCCCACAGAAGCTGTGGATGCCACATCCCTGGAAGTGTTCATGGCCAGGTTGGAAGGGGTTTTGAGCCCCCAGGTTGGAAGGGGCTTTGAGCTTGAAAAATCTTTTGAGCTTTTTCATTTGGTCTAATGAAAGGTGTCGGTGCCCATGGGACAGGCAAAGAATTAAATTATTAAAAAGTTAAAATATTGAAGTAGGAAATATTTGTAATTAGTAGTTAATAAATAGTTGTTTGCTTTTGGGAAACAGATAGGTTTTGGCCAGCTGTGCTACAAATCTGTGAAAAATATGGTGTAAAGTGACTATGACAATGAGAGAAGAAAGAAAAAAGTTATGCTAAATATTTCATTTTGATCTGCTTGTTATTTTTTAAATTATTTTAGCACTGATCTCTGATTATGAATAAATGTAGCTAATCACGACTAGATTATTTAAGACTTCATTTTATCATCACAATTCATGTGGTAGGAATTAGGACACAACTTGGGTGTTAAACTCTTCCTGAAATAGAGTTACTGGGGAAAAAAGCTTAAAGGAATTAATGACAACACTGCCTGAACAAAAGCATATTTATTTTGTTATTTCTCTTCTACCTGATTGACTAAATGATCCATCCCTATCTCTGCAGTCAGAAAATTCAGCATAGTTGAGTGAATGTTTGCATAACCATGAAGGTAGTAATAATTAGCAGAAAGGAATGGGAGTTTATTTTAAGATGCAGCGTTCAGAGCAGCAGCACCACTCTTGTCAAAGAGATGAACTGATGTTATTGTTACTCTGCAGTGCAATTCATTCACCTGCTTACAGGCCAGTTTTCCACATTTCAGCTCATCATTTGTCTCACTTTCTCATTGCAATACTTATTTATAAATTCTGTGAAATGTAAAATAATTTTTCATCCTTATAATAAAAGCTGCAGTGTAATGCAGATCTCATCCTCAGCATAAGAAAAAAATGGGCATTTTGCAGTTTTAGCATTTTGCTTCAGTTCTGAGGTGTCCTCTTTCTGAACAGCATAAAGGGGGAGTTAATTAAAATCTTGTCTGCAAATAGAATTTCTCACATCACTTATTTGACCTCTGCCTTCCCTTAAAGAAAGTCTTTTTGTTCTGTTGGCTTTTTCACTAGGGCTGAAGATGTAGCCACTGGGATCCAGAGGGATTCGTGTGACTAAATACCTTCAGGGTTTATTTTGGGAGTTAGTGTGGTTGGATTTGTTTGTTTGTTTGTTTGTGCTTTGATGGGGGGGTGGTAATGTTTGGTTTTTTGTGTGTCTGTTTGTTTAGGGTTTTATTTGTTTGGGGTGTTTTTGCACTGTAGTAATCCTTTGCACTTTTAATGTAGGAAAAACACTGAAGGGGGCGTATCACCAGCCAGAAGTTTATCCAATATAAACTGCTCATCCAAGAGCATTCACAGGCATTTTCACCTGCTCTTCTCACACTGTTCAGTTCACACAGGATCACATGCTGGGGTTTAGTGAACAGGGCCAGGATCTGGAAGAACACAGGCAGCATCTCTGCACCCAGCAAGAGGGTACATGCTATGGTTATTGGTCTATAGGAATACTTTGGTGACACAGTTCAGCCCTGTAGAACTGAAGAGGATGGAGAAGAAATCCAGACCTTTCAGAGCAGCTGAATGAATCTCTGGGAAGTTTGTAGCATCATTTTCTGTTCTAGGAAGTGTTGGTGAGTCATAGAATCACAGAATGGGTTGGGTTGGAAGGGATCTTTAGAGGTTTGTCATGGCCTGATATTACACCTCTCTCTCTCCCTTCAAGTCTGTTTGAAAGCCTGTCAGTCAGCCCTGATAGCTCATGAGCAAAGACCCTCTTGCCCTTGTGAGAAATATGAATCCCATCTGACTCAAACAGGTCTGGTGTTGTGCTGATCATCCTGTTACCAAAAAACCCTGAATTCTGGCTGTGACCCCAGCCATGGAGCCAGGTATTGATAGACTAAGTCTGTCTGTTCCTGCAAGAATAGGGGAAAAAATGATCCACATTTCCTGATCAGCCATTCCAAGATGCTGAAATCTCTTTTGATCACCCTTGGACTGCACACTGTGACTCATCACCCCCAGCATGGAAGAGAAATAATGAATAACAGTCCGAGGGCTGTACCAGACTGGGAAGTTTCCTGCTCATGTCCTTAACTTGGGCCTCAGGGAGGGGAGAGGCTTCCCTAAGAGGAGGCTCTGTCCAGCATTTTGGACCTTCTGTTGCCTTCAGAAGGGAGTCACACACCGCTATAGACAGGAATGAACAAAGGAACTTTCATGTAATTACTTTGGCTTTGCTTCTGGGTGTTTCCTGCTAAGCTCAGTAAAGGAAAAATGTCTGCAGAGGGAGTTGGAGTAGTTGCAGGTTTTAATTAAAAATCTGGAATACTTGGCCACCATCAGCAAGATCCAGTCTGAACCAAGTGCACAGTTAACAAAAGTCAGTCTGATCATAACAGTTTTTACATAAAAAATCAAGTGAAATAATACAGAACACTGTCCAATAATTATTTAAGGTAATATCTGACCTAGACAGATGCTCCATAGTGCTGACCTCCCCACAGTAAGGAGTTAATACAGCCTAACGCCTAATCCTAGTCTATGATTATGTCATTTGTGTGCTGGAGAGTGTGAGGCAGCGTGTGGAGGATAAGGAGGGCAGGTACTCAGTGCGTGGCTGCTGTCCTGCCCCTTCCCAAGCCGGAGGTGGGTGGCTATCTGCCCCCAGGCTATCTGCCCCCAGGGCTATCTGCCCCCAGGCTATCTGCCCTGGTGTTGTCCCCCAGCTCTGGAGTTCCCCATGGGATGCCGGGTCCCTCTCTTGGCTCTTCGCAATCCGCCCCGCAGGGCTCCTTCCTCCTCACTGCTCTCCTGGGAGCTGGAAGCCCCTGTTCCTGTTTGTGTGCCTGTGGGAGGCCTTTCAGCAGGAGCTCCTGGGCAGGAGAGCTTCTCCTGTCGGCAGCCCTGCCCGTGGGGCAGCTTCAGGCTCTGGTTGAAGAAGGCAGAAGCCATGCACTCGGCCGCGGCCGCGTCGCAGGCGCAGAGGAGCTTCTCACACGTGCTCCAGCCAATGCCTGAAAGAGAAGTTTCACAATTCATGTTTGAAAAGCTGTTGAACTTACTTCATGAATAATTTGCCACGGGTTGATGAGCTTTTGAAAATTAAATTTTCAAATCTGCCATGAATTTTAGTCTCCAAAGTCACCATTAATCGCCTAAATAAAAGCCTGACGCCAAGGTGCTGGGCAGTGGAAGGTTCTGCTGGCTTTAGTTGAATTTGTGAATGTAAAGACATAAATAGCTGACTTCTGACCATAATTATAAAATGTCTGAATATAATTTTCTCAGCCTGACCTGGTCACATACACAGCAGTGTAATAACATTTGTCTCAACTAGGAAAAAAGTTCAAGTTTACAGTAAACATTGCTAATTTTTTGGAAGCTAAATATTTCTGTCTCCATACTCAGCTCTAGCAGCTCTGTCATAGTGTCACTCAGTCTATCATGTTGATACACTGTCATCAGGACGTGAGGATATCCTCTCAAACAAGCTTACATTTTGGTGTATGATCAAAACATACAACTTCAGATCTCAAATTTCTTTCTGCATGACATCCAAGTTTCTTAACTTGCTCCATACAGCAGTGATGAGAGAAGCAGCATCTAAAATAAACAGTAGAAGTAAATGGAAAGTACTCTACCTGAATCCCATAACTCTCACAATTATTTGTCTGTCTTTATTTTCAATGCCCATTAAAACTAAAAAATTTTGGTTTTCATACCCTGGAATTTTTTTTATATGAAGGACAAAAATCAACCTAAGTTGTTCCTACCTCCTATTTTTGTTCCAACTCTCACTCTCCTCTTCTTCATTCTTTTCATGTCATGTGTTTAACAGAGGTGTTTTTTAATTTTAAGGCACAATTACAATTGTAACCGTGATCTAGTTTGCCATGAGAAGTATCTTCCAGTGTTCAAATCCTGGCTGGAAATCTGAAAACTGCATCATGACACCCAGATCATGCCATCATCTAATCCAAGTTTTCATGCCTGTGCTGTCCTGTTTGTGTGTGAGTGCAGGAAAAAGGTGTGTGCTCTACTTGGACCTGATGTGCCCCAGCTGTTATGAACTTCTTCAGAGGAGGAGATTTTTAGCTATAAATAAAAGACTCCCAGAGGTGGTTTTATTTGTGGAGTTCTCTGCATTGCCCCTCATCAGCAGCCCTGCTGGCTCCTGGCTGCAGCTCTGGCAGAACTTTGCTCCAGCTCTGCTCCCTTCTGGAGGACAGTGTGCCCTGGGTGGATGTTAATTCTTCTCTTCAAAAGTCACTTTCTAAGCCACCTCTTAGCCAAGTGACCCTTACCCTCATCCCTTTGATGTACTCCTCATTCTCCTTGGCTTACCCCCCATGGTTCTTTCTTATTTGCAGTTAGTAAGTCCTCTCCAAAATTTGGCACAACAATGGAATGTGGTTTAGTCACATTAGAGTATTTTGTGTTGTATGTATTTAAGTGGATTTTTCCCCCCCAGAATGTGACTTGACTTCTGCTGCAAAGCTATAGAATGCCCAGAAAATTATGTAGTGATCTTCCTTGGTCCATGGGCACCAAGTAACGCCCGCAGTTAATGGCACATACAGAGGAGCCCACACCTGTCCAGTGCATCGGCGGGTTCGCCTCTTCCCTCTTGGCCACAATAGCAGCCATAAGACTCAAATTCCTCTGGGCACCGCTCAGTTAAGCAGAACAGCATTTCTCCAAGCTGGGGCAGCTCCCTCTCCACTCTTCCACGTCCTCTCTCCTGCAGAAAGGTCAGTCGCTTGCACACTACAAAGCAAAGTTGTTATTTGTCACATCATGTTTTCACTGCTTGAGGGCTCTCTTGTGAAGGTAGGAGTGTTTCCAGAGCTATCAGAAACTTTGCAGGACAACGTTTTACTGTCTCTACTGCTTCAGTCCAAGAATTATGGCTCTTAGAGTACTGCTGACTGAGCAAGACAGCAAAAGGGCAAGGTAATTTAAAGGGAAGAGAGATTCCTATGAAGATAGAACATACAAGTCAAATTGGACTGCAGTGAGAATACTTAGCAATACTTAGCAGTCCTTTGTAATCTTTCAAAGGTAAATTTTTCATTTGGAATATTCAAACTCAGCTGAGTATTCAGTGGTTTCTGTCTTGGTGATTTGGAAAATACAGTCCTAACTTCTTGTGCTTCCACCATGACAACTGGACAATGACCATGTTTTGCTGAAGGAAACAATATTTTTTTTTGTTCTCATTTGAAATATAGTCCAATTTGAGCTGTAGTGCCCCTAGACCAAATGCAGGAGTGATCTGTTGTAATGGCTATAGTGCTGCTGAGGGTTTGGCATCACCAAATGCCAATCCTAATATCTCTGTGGCTCCTTCTACTCAGGAAGAACTGATATTATGGGAATTATTCCTAAGATTTGAAAAAACCACAGTGTTCCATATCAGGAAAAAGGCATCAAAGGGGGCTGTTCTGGGACTTTGCTGGGAGAAGAATGTAAGAGGCTGATGCAGGAGAAGGAGGGAGGGAGGGAGGGCTTCTGTTCCCTCTGCATCCTCCCTTCTCCCACAAGTAATCCCATCTTCCCCTCTGCAGCTCTAGACTGATTCCCTGCTCCTGTCAGGGTCAATCCTGGATTACTGTTTCCAACAGGAAATTCTGCCCATGTGCCTTCTTGGGTCTTGATTAATTCATGTTAATTCCCAGGATAAACCACAGGTTCAGGAAATTGGTCTGTGCCCTCTAAAAGCTGGTATTTTAAAATTGTATTTTCCAGTTTGGTGAAAGGTGGGGTTGATTCTTCTGCTCTTTTCCAGTTCCGGGGATGCTTCTCTCCATTGGGAAGCCTAAAAAGACAGATGGACGGATGGGATGAGTGTAGATTTATAGCCATGACAGGTCTGAAATGTCTTAGGATCTCTGGGATCCCTGAGCAGGAATTGGAACAGAATCAGAAATGGTGAGAAAAAGTCTGACTGGCAAGACTGTAGCAAAAGGTCAGAATGAAGAGCAGAAAAATTCCTATTGCTGCTGCTGCTGCTGCTTATAAAACAAAGTAACCTGCATGTGTGATTAAATTACTTCCAACAAACAAAAGCAGGGAGAATCATTCCCTGAGCTCATTTTAGATACTGCATTAAATGAAAAAAAATTCCTTACAAGCTAATAATTAGTAGTTTTTAAAAGTGTTACTGACAGCGTACTGGCAGAAGAGGTTAAAGTGATGGAAGCTTTTGCAGATGTCTCCACCTCCTGTTCTTCTAAATACCAATACATGAGTGCTTATCTAACTGGTTTAAAGTAACTATAATATTTATATGTAATACATACCTGCTTTTAATACAGAGGTTGCTGAGTATTTCATCAGATGTAATGGGGAAAAAGCCCTTTATTTACCTTTTCCTGCAGGTCTTCTCTCAGACAGTCCCAGGTCCAGAGCTATGCCAGAGGAAGCTGTGCTCAGGCCACCCCTTGCAGGGCTTGTCTCTGGAGAAGACAAATGCATAGATTAGACTTGTGAAGGTCAAATATCTCCTCTTTCAGGAGCGTGTCCAAAAGTGCATATTCTAAACTATTATCAGCTGCAGTCTTCTAAAATTTGTTCATTCTTAGTGGGAGGCTGTTTATTAGTGGTTAGTTAAGCTTTCCTGGTCAGGTGGCAGTGAGCTGCCCTTTCCAGGGCAGTCAGTGCTATTGATCCTGTATTGGATGCAACCTCCAGATTTAAATAACAAAATAGCTTCATTCTACATATCCATGAAAAATGCTGACTCCTCAGATAGCCATAAACAGGAATAGGGAAGTGCTCTAAATTAGAAAAAGTGTAATTCAGTTTTCACTTGCCTTTTCCTTTTGTCCTTGCAGGTGTGCCTGCAGGACTTTTGTTGGTGGGGAAAATTTTGACTTGCATTGAGTTACTGTCTCCTGGGAATGAGGCTGGGGAGGTGGTTATCTCTTCCACTGAGACCAAAGCTTCCATAAATCCATCTTCTTCTGAATAAGCAGAAAAAAGAAAGCAGAAAAAGAAACAGAAAATAAACAGCATAAAAGATTTTAATTTTAGATAGCTGGGGAGAGTAATATCCTCAGGCAGAAGGAGTGTGAATTGATGGTTATAGAGAAGGAGTATCTAAGAGGAAAATTGGAAAAGGAGAGTATCCACACTGGTCATTTATGCACATCTCTTGCCTTTCAGAAGAAAGGACTGTGGTTAACTATGATCAATTTAACTGCTGATTGTTTGGGTTTTTTTTTTTTAATTCTCTATGTACTGAGACAAAGAGCTTTGCAGGTGCTGAAGATCATGTTGTTTGCTGCTTAGTCAGTTGTACTGAGAAATAAAGTACAGGTGAAATGTCATTTGCTGATTAAATTGCCTTAAAAGTATCTGTTCACTTGAAGTTTCTATAACTGAGAGTAACATCAGTGAAAGAAGGAAATTATTTGATTGATGCAGAGCTGGGTGACTGAAGGGTTTACTGGGTTGTAACCACAAGGAAATATTGAGGGGAAAATAAGTTGAAAAATAATTCTTGTCAGGAGATTCTTTATCCTAAAAATTAATTTGGTATTTGTTTTTAGATTATCTGACACTTTATTGTAGGTCAGGAAAGTTTTGTTGAATTTGGAGGTACTTAAAATATTCTTACTTTTTAAACCTTTTTTATGTAAACTTAATTTTTGAGTGAAAACACTTATCAAATGGTTTCATTTTCTTTTCTAAATGTTAATGTGAACAATGTGGCATTTCACAAAATAAATACCTTTTAAATACTAATGGGCATGTATTTTCATATTTTTAAAGATTTCCTTTTGAATTCTTTGGCTGAATTTATTGATTGGACTAAACTCAAATTCATTAAGCTTGTCCCTCTGATGTTCTGGTTTTAGTATGTGTTGAAAATAACCTGTCACAGGATAAGAGAACAGATTAAAAGAAATTAAAGTACTGCTAAGAACACAGCAAAGCCCATGAAAGGTGGCAGAATGGGATCAATAGTCACACACTGGTTTTGAAATCTCAGCAATGTGCACATTTTATGCTACTTTCTTTGGGAGTGGAATGTTGAAATGAAAGTGATTCCTGCTGGATGTAAAAGATAAAACCAGGGTTTGGGAAATTCTACACTTAGCTAAGAATAGATATCACAAATAATCTCCTGGGAGCCATGCAGACCTGCAACACAATACACAGATTTTCTGGTACATTCAAGTTAATGCAGGAGAGCATTGAGTGATTTTAACCAGTGCTTAGTACAGCAATGCTGAATTCATCGGGGTGGGAGACAGGGATATTGTTCAGACAGTGTAATCAGAGACAAAAAATGACTGCTTTCTACTCTCCATATGCAGCAGTTTTCTCTGACATTTTTCTGGTGGATTTTAGCCTGCCTGGATAATCCTTTCTACACAAAAGGGGCCAGAGGAAACTTCCAGATCTACCACGGTGCTCCATTTCCAGCTGTGCCTACTGGTGAGGCTGTGCTCAAAGCACAGACACCTGCAAAAGCTGGAACAGGTTTTAGACTGGGAGAGAGTTCCATGAAATTATCTGTAATAAAGGAGGAGGCAAAATCAAAATAAACCCTTCTGGCAGCAAATGCTGTGGACATAATTTACAGAAACAACCATTATATCATTAAACCTTATGTGAAGAGGCTTTCAGAAAGACCTGGATGAGGAGTGCAAATGAGTGGCTGGAGGCAAGGAGCACCTAATGATTCTCAGCCAGGTTTTATTGTTTGTGTATCTGCTATCTGCCCCTGATCTAAATTTGATTCTCTGGCAGCCCTGCTGCTACCATGCACAGAGTTTTAACTCTGCTTTTAGATGAAGAATTGCTGTGTCAGTCAAAGAAAGAGGAAAACTGAGGGTCACTGACCTTTAATTGAGAGGATGTGGGGAGCAGGAGCTGTGCCTCTGTGGTCCCTTGAGGTAACTACAAAAACCAGAGACATCATGGTAGTGACCTGCCAGCTGAATTTCTGCCATGCATTTCTGAAATTACTTTGACTTAAAGCATTATAAATTTAAACCAAAGGGCCTGGATTTATTAAGATGGTAATTAGGAGAAGCAAAGTGTTTTGCTAAAGGATGTGCAAGTCAGCAGAAGAAATATTATCCAGAAATCCTGTGGTGAAGATTTTTGACTGTGACACCACAGAGCTTCATAAATGAAAATTCATCTTCACCTGTAGTCAAGAGTGCCAAATTTGTCAACAACGTTTAATGACTCTTACCTCTGGCTTTGGAAGTCGCCAAGACTCTGTCACTGGGCTCAAAAGAAACCACTGTTGAAAATAGAAAATATAAACTCAGGAAACACATTGCCAGCACAGTAATGAACAGTCAGGCTGCTGAGAAGAGCTTCTTCTGAAAACCGGAGGATATAGTCGTATCATGGAGAGACACTTGCCTATTTTTCTCAGTGGTGTATTGATGGTTACAGACAAAGTGATACTCACAAATTAATCTCATTGCATGCAAATAATGTACATAGCACTAACACGGGATTCTATGATTCTATGAAAGAAGTGTAAATATATGGCTGAATTGGGAAACTCAATATTAAGTTCATTTGACAGACAAATAGACTAAACAGGGTTAGGTCTGGCATCCCAGTTGTGCACAGAAGGATGCTGGGTTCCTTGTGAACATCTTGTGTTTGCCTGCACTGAGAGTCAGGTATGGATGGGCAGCCATAAGTCCAAATACTTCTCTGACCTCTAACTTGTTTTCTTTACCTGATAAAATTATCTTTACCTGATAAAATTATTTTCATTTGTCAGCTGCCTTTTGATAAATTATAAAAATAGCTATCAAATGATCTTAAAAATCATCTCCACATTTTTTTTCTGTGTTGTTCGAATGTTGTGAGGTGAAGAATAACTTGTTTGCCTCTGAAAGAATTTCTCAGTGATACTTAGCTTTGGTTTAATGAAGCTTCTTGTTTAAACTCAAAGAAACTTCCATGAAGATTATTTGAGTTTAAACAGGAAGACAACTGGTTAAATAGTAAGTGGTTCTCCAAATGTTGCCTTCAAAGACTGATTAGAAATGTTATCTATATTGTTTTCAGCTTTGTAAAATTCCTAATACAGGTTTTTGTTCGTTGATAATGCTTGGAACCTTATGATGGACTGAGCCTCAATAGGAAGCAGGAGAAGATGTTTTTTCAAGAAGTAAAAGATTGCTTCAGAAGTGCAAATACAGGTGCTCTCATTCCTTCAGGAGTTCTGTTTTCTATTACAAAGTGTCCCAGAAGCAGACAGAAAAACATGAACTAACACGGGAGCTGCTGCTAGGCAAGAATGCAAAGTATTGTAAAGAACTACTTTGATAATACAGGAGAGGTATGAAGGAACAGGCAGCACTTACACTCAGCATAAAGCCTTTTCAGGTACTTACACTTGTGCATGTGCTGCTATTTAAAAATATTAAAAACAAAGAAATCCACAAACCTTTACATGTCAGAAACATTGTTTTTTAAAAACAAAAAAAAATTCTATGTGTTTTTCATTATTCCAGACTCACACTTAGGGCAATGGCACACACAGAGGAGCACACTGAAGCTTGAAATCAAGTTCTTAGGTTCTGAAAAAAATCCAACTTTCCACCTCTCCCTGTGCAAGCTGGTCTAGTGGAAAGTGTCCCTGCCCACAGCAGGGGACTTGGAATATGATCTTTAAGGCTCCTTCCAACACAAACCACTCTGTGATTTTCTGGGTTAAGCCGTGGCCTGGTTGCTCATATCCAGTGTATGTTGGTTCTGTGCTTGGCAGATATGGGGTCTATGAACAGGGAATCATGGAATCATCAGGAGAGGAAGAGACCTTCAGATCCCCCAACCCAGCTGTCAGCCCAGCCCTGCCCCTGTAACCCCTGAACCACCATACCACATTGCCCAGCACCAAATCCAGGTGCCTCTTAAACACCTCCAGGGGTGGTGACTCCACCATCTCCCTGGGCAGCCTATTCCAAAGTCTGAGCAACTGAACAGTGAAAAAATTCTCATTAATATCTCATCTGAATCTCCCCTGTCTCATCTTAAGGACATTTCCTCTGATTGTTTCCCTGCAGGCACAGTAGAAGAGACCAATGCCCACCTCACCACACCCTCCTGTCAGGTGGTTGCAGAGAGCAGTGAGGTTCCCCTGAGCCTGCTCTTCTCAAGACTAAACAAACCCATCTGCCTCAGCCACTCCTCATAAGAAATTTTCTATAGTCCTCTCACAAGCCTTGTTGCCCTTCTCCGGACACACCCCAGCACCTCAATGTCCTTTTTAAAGTGAGGAGCCCAGAACTGAGCACAGCACTGAAGGTGCAGCCTCATGACGCTGAGGGGTGATCCCTGCCCTGGTCCTGCTGGTCACAGCACTGCTGGCACAGGCCAAGATGCCATTGGCCTCCTGGGCCACCTGGGCTCACTCTGGCTCCTGCTGAGGCAGCTGTGCTCCAGCACTGCCAGTCCATTTTCCAAACAGCTCTGATGCCACTTCTCCCTTAACAGCAGTGGCTTTGCTTGTGATGGAGCCACAAAACAAGAGTGCAGCAGCTAAACTGGGTAAGAGTCCAAGACTGGTCTCCCTCTCTTCTTCATATCTTGGTCCTCTCTTACACCGTGTCCCCCAAGGGCTGTGGGTGTTCTGTCCCTGGCCTCTGGTGTGGCAGTGCTCACCATGCAGGCGAGAGAACAGATTCTCACTGCAGCAGTGAGGTTTTGCAAGTACCCACTCCTCATTACACAGCCATTGAGTGCAGCAGAAAAAAAAGACTGTCATGAGAACCACTTGGCCTTGTGGTTTAGAACTCACCAAGGAGGCACCAGAGTGAGGAGGTTTCAGCCTGGATTTCATTGGTACAAATAAATAAACTAAAAACTGGTGGCTCGTTGGCACAAACCATGCTCAGAAGTTCCTCATGCTGCTGCTTGATCTTAATTAATTCAATATCTTTTAAAGACAAGAAACATGCAGTTGGCTGTGGGTCCAGTGGCTAGGCCATCTCTGCCAAACAGCTCACCCCAGCCTGTTTTCCCAGGGGAAAAAGGATGTTCTGATGAAAACAGGTTTTGTTGTAGCCCTTGGGAAATTCACTGTAAACACTGGTTAAACACATTACATGCACAAATTGAAAAATTGCACCTTCCTATTCAATCTTGAACTCCATCACCAAAACATTACATCTAGTTTTACATGAGTCCTTTTAGAAGGGCAGAAAGAAAGCAAATATTCTCTCAGCTTTTGGGAGCTGCAAGCAGGGCTTTTGTCACTCTAAGTTGCAAACCTTCTTCCACAGATGCAGTCGCAGCTGGTGTTCCATCAACCCCTTGATGAACAAATTCTGGAAAAAAACCAAATTTACTTGTGGCTTAGGGTGATCCCTAGACTGTATCCTGGAATAACATGATCAGAGTCATCAAAAAGGAACTTATTTCTAAATTTTATTATGATTACAGCAGCAGTATTAAAATACTGCTTTAGTATTTATATCCTGCTGATACTAAATTCTCTTGAGCTACATGCAGTATAATAACAAAAAATAATCCCAAAGAGTTTCAACCTCAACAAGAGGAATCAGCTGGCAGTCAGCATTCTTCAAATTTCTATTTCTTCTGCTTATTTTTCTGAGTATAAGTCGGTCTCAATTTGATACATTCCAGACAAACAATTACAGAGGTGACCTACCCTCCATGTGTCGTGTTGTCAGCTCTCTCTTGCTGGTTGTTTCTGAAAGAGAAGGGTCTCTCATAAAGTGTGAGAAGGGGATTTTTTCACTGTTTGATCTGAATAGCACAAATCAGGAGTCCATTGAATGTATTCCTGTTAAAGATTTAGTCAAATACATGCCCATTTCACACAATTTTTTTTCTCTGTAATAAAGAACCTACCAAAATCCTTTGCCTATGGATTCATCAGATAGGGTTATTTTTTATTTTTTTTCCCAAAGTCAGAACTGAACAGAACAGCTACACAGAAGGATTATAACATGAGTGGACATTGAGTGAAAATGTTTCATTCAGTGTTGCTTTTTTTTTTTCTTCTCAACAAGAAATATAATCAATCACCTAAAATTAGCAGAGGCATCCAGTGAACTAAAATGGAATCTCTTTATCAGCAGTGATAAAAATCAGCATGATTTTCCTGTTAGCAAAGATCAATTTCCTCTTTATTTTTAGTGTGTTGGATCTACCATACTGTATATCAGAGATATCTGAATCCAGGGAAAGATTGCTGTCTTAAAAAAAGACAACAACCTGGCTTTGATGCAAACCTTCCTGGGGCATGTTCTTCTCCCTTGATGCATTCAGGAGGGTGTGTACACATCCAGGGTGTGACACAGGTGTGTCTGTCTGTCTGTCCTTAGCACTGGAGGTCGTGACTGTGACCCAAAATATTAGAAAAGCCAATGCTGCTTTTTCACATCTCCCTCAGCTTGGGGACCCAGAGCTCCTGCCCCTGCCATACTCGGATTGCAATCCATATGAATGAAGTTTTTAATCCAGGCTTGCTCCCACGGAGCTGGCATTTGTTCTTGCAGGGCTGTGATTTCAGCTACAGAGCACAGATCAGTGTGTGACCACGGGGATAAACCTCACCTTCCTCCTTAGCAGGGGTTTTCCTTCCAGAATAGAAGCCAAGTAACTGACCAGAGCAAGCCTGTTTTTGCTTTTCCAGCCAGTTTTTGAATCGTTTAAGGGAAGATTTGGGTTAGCAATATTTTCAGCATTTCCTGCTAGTGACATCATCACAAGTATCACTCATTCATTCCAGGTGGCAGAAGCTTCCTGAAGAAAAAAATTCCTTCACATCTAACTAGAATTTCCCTGTTGCAGTGGTGATCCTTGTACCCTGTGCACCTCCAGGAAGAGTCTGGCAGCATCTTCTCTCCACACCCCACTCGGTACTGAGAACTGCAGAAAGATCTCCCCGAAACCTTCTCCTCTTTCCTCATGGGCTGCAGCCCCCTTCCCATCTCAGAAGCCTCTCCTGGCCCTGCTCCAGGACAGCAATCAGTCTGCCACCACCTTCTCTCCTGGTATTCACCCAATAGGCAGTAAATGGACAGGACACATGAAACAGAGACCAGATTTATGGCAGGAAAGCACCCAGCTCCTGCTTCATTCTCACTGGGTCACATTTGGTGCCAGCAGAAAATCTGGCAGGAGGGGCACTCGGTCAGATCCCTGTTATTACCTGTAACTGGAGATGGGCAGGAGGAGACATCCAGCCCGTTCAAGGAGGAGTTGATCTGTGCATTCACAAAGCATTCAATGGCATCTTTGTCACAGGTGCAGAGGAACTGTTCACAGGGATCCACAGACTCTGGAAATAAAACAAAAATACAAACAAGGCACTATTGAAAAGTCTTTTCCATCTTCTGCTTTTTCCTCCCTGTAAGGTTTGGGTCTGTATTTTGTTAGTCCAAACCTATTTATACTGTGCTTCTCCATGCAAAACATGGACAAGTTTCATAGTCCAACTCTTGTTTTAAACACCAGTTGATGCAGACTGGCATGGCTGTCAATAAATTATTATCTCTTTGCTTGTGTCTGCAGAGCATTGAGGACTACAGAGCAAGGCTCTAGTTTTTCCATGGAAAACTTAATCCAGCTGATACTGCATTTAACATTTCACAGACTGCATTAAAATATTCCTCCTAACTCCACGAAGTCACAATCCACAATCCAAGCCTTTCATGGATGTGTGATTTGCTCCTTATAAAGGATCAGAGAACCTTAGAACAGCTTGGATTGGAAGGTGTGTTAAACCTCATGTCATCCCCCCCTTGCCATGGCAGGGACACCTTTCACTAGCACAGGTTGCTCAGTGTCCCAACCAGCCTGGCCTTGAACACTTCCAGGGATGAAACATCCACAACTTCTCTGGGCAACTTGTGCCAGTGCCTCACTGCCCTCAAAGTTAAAAATTTCCTCCTAACACAAAGGATATGAAACAGTTCCCCATGAAATACTATTTTCTCTCTTCAAAATTTCCTACCTTTCAGAGTTTAAAGAAACATTGACTTTTCATAGCTTCTATTTTGAATTTGTGATGGGGACTATACAGAAAGAGCTTAAAAAGCATTATTAATGCTTAAATGCACTTGGACAATTAGAGATTGGCTTAAATAAGAAAACTGGTTTTAATTTGAAATAAGAAATGGAAATTGGATCAGATTGTTGCTTAAATAGGATGTAAGGGTATTAGTTTGGGGATTCTGCTGTTCTTTGCTGGTATCTTCAAATCATGTTCTAGCATATAGTCTTTTCTGAGAGCCAAAACTTGATGAAAAATTATATTACAAGTTATTAGGCATTAAAGAACCCCACTGCACTCTTGTCAGGCCTGTACCAGCACTGCATGGAATAGCTCCTGTTATAACCCATGATCTCTGCCCTCACTGGTGATAGTGCTGTAGCTGAGGAGTGTGCGTGACACTCTGAACAATGAATTTGACCCCTCAAAGTGCAGAAAAATGAGGCCTTGATGCCTCAGAAGGTAGTTTTTCAGGTCTCTCCTCAGCATCTGCTGCATTTCTGATGTGTGGAGACATCTTAAGCAATGCTTAGTGATCTTGTAAAGTAAGGGAAACCCCAGGAAGAGGCTGCCTGTTGGAGCAGCTCTGGGAAGTGGAGATGGTTTCTGAAGAATTTGTCTATGACTTTTGGTAGGTAGACCAGAATGAACTTCTGGTGAGGCTCCAGTGTCAAGCTCTTTTGACAGGTCAATCTCACCACAGGTCAGGTTTTTAGCAGAGCAGCTGACATCTGCAGAAATCTGTGATGGGTCCCACGTGCACTCCATCTCCAGCGCTTCCTCGTAGCATTTGCGGTGCTGAAAGCAGCATCTTGAAGAGGAAACAACAGAGAGGTCAAACCATTCAGTTGGATCCCCAGACAAAGGAAAGGCAGAGTGCTGCCTTTCCCTGAGTCAGAGTGGCAGGATAACCATGGCTGCATGCAAAACTCCATGGTGGGAGCAGGTCTGTCTGCTGTGGGTGACCAAACATTTCGGTCCTGCTGTGGTTCCTGGGCGCTTGCAAGGACTTTACAGGCACTTCATATAAGAAATCCACTACCAGTGCACAAATACCTCCCCTCAGCACTGTCAGCTCACTGACAAGTAAAGTCTCACAAGTCAGCCCCAGAGATCTTGGGTCCAGTCCTGTCCCAACATTCCTCACTGCAGATTTGGAGAGCTAAACTGAACCTGGCACTCATGGAGTGCATGGAGTGCACTCATGGCTCTGCAATGTGAATTCCTGTGTCTCACTGGGACTATATAAATACATGCAGTTTTATCCTCTATTTCTTGTACTTTTATGCAGCAATCACAATTGAAATGCACCATTTAGCTATAAGAAAGGGCCATGAAATATTTTTCTCACACTGGAGTAAAACAGTTTTCTCCTGCCACTATACGTCAGAAACCTTGTGTTTTCCTGCACTCCTGCTGTCCTGCCAAACTCAAATTGCCTACAGGGCCACTTTAGCTTGAGTAGGAATAAAAAGTCAACTAAAACAACAAGCTCTTCTTCAATCCTCTCCTCTCTTCATCTATTTATATGGATAAATCATCTCCACAACATCTCTGTGCACTGACACCAGCTCTAAATGAAACACCAAGGAAAACAGTCACCACTTACCCCAGGTAAAATTGTTACATAGATTAAACAGTCTTGCTGTTAGATTCAGATTGAAATACCCTCATTTCAGAGAAATGGACTCAAAACACAGCTCTGTTATTGAGTAGCATTTGTCCTGGACAATGCTGAAGACAAGGACAACACAAATATCCAAGCCCAGCATCTGCTGCCAGGAAGGCTGGCACCTGCTCCTTGCCAGGCTCCCTTCCAGAGAGCCCTTCTACACGTGCTACACATACACTCCTTCACCTCTTATATTTAGAAAGAATTTCATATTAAATCATTGACTGTATTAATAAATAATTATCACAATATTTTGCTTGTCTTCACAACCAAAGAAGGAGTCCAAGGAATGTATCTAAAAAAAGTGAGGGCAAACAGCATTTGGCAGAAAGGCCTGATGGCTCCTCTGCACAAATTCTACTGTGCCTTGTTGCAGGAATGAGGCTGAAATCCGTGAGCTCCATCAGGAACAGGGTTTTGAACACCTAACTGCTGATGTCTCAATGCTCTCTTGACTCTCCCTGAGGTCTAGTGAGGTGTTAGCACCTAAAAGCTCCTCTAACTGCATAAGAATCCTAACACAAACTCTCTGCACTTCTTGTTTGTTTAGAGATTCACGATTACATCAACAGTTGAAGCAACAGTTAATCCAAAAATTCACTTAGCTTCCCTTTGCAAGCAGAGAAGGGATTGTTTCCCTGTCATTGCAAGACATGGATTGTCTTCTGGGCCTGCTTCTCTTTCACAAAGTTTGTGGAGGCTCCTAATTTAGATATGACAATGAGCTACTCTGGGAAATGGGAAAAGGTTGCTCTTACAGGCACTAGTACTTTTCCATGCCTTAAACACCTGCTGTGAGGCATTGAGTCCTTTTCTATGGAACAGAAATTGCGCAGGCAAGCCCCAAGATTTGCAAAACTATTTTCTAAGAAATAAAATCAGTGAAAAAAAAATGCAACACTGTGGGAACTGTCTCTGGGAGAGACAGGCAAGCCACTGGTTTGGAGGCACCCTTGAACTAAGAGCACATCTCTGTCAGTGGCAGAGCAATAATCAGTCTCTGTTTGCTGCACATGGCAGTAGGAATTCTGTGCTGGTAGGGAAACCTCACCCCAGGGCTGCAAAACAATTTGTAAATACAAACTGGCTGTGTGGGTGATTCTCAGGACAAACCTGCTGATGGATGTTTCTGCAGTTTCTGGGTTTGTGCTGCTCTGCACTAAAATGAAGCTGAGTGAAGCAAAAGCCCAGGTGCTCAGCTCTTGGGTATCCACCCATTGAACTGACTCAAGCTCCCGTTTCAGGATGTCATCACAATTGTTCAAAAAACCTTTCACAGAGTAGTTCTATGGCTTGTTTCCAGTAGCAGGGTTAGATCTCCATTTTCCCAGCCATCCCATGCTGCAGAGTGGTTGGATTAATTTCCACCTATCTATAGGCTTAGCCCTTTCTGAGTCGTTGCTGTCTTCACTGAGGGAATGAATACATTGCATTGTTGGAAAACCCATTTTCTTCACAGACATGGATGTATCTTGACTCTCTTTGAATCTCCTTTCACATCTCCTGCTGATATAATTAAACAACTATTTGATTGTCCTGGCCTGAGATTACATTTTCTCTCACTAGAGCCAGATGGTGTGGGTCTTACTTACCCCCAGATAAATCTATCTTTTTATTACTGTTTTTAACTAATTCATACAGGTGTTATGCTTTGGGTGATCAGAGCATGAGGGCATTTATTGCCAGTCAGGGCAGAAAAGGACCTCTCATGGATATGACTTACTCATCAGCTTCATCCACGGGGAGCCCTTCCATCTCAAACCGGCAAGAGCAGCCATAGTCTTCGAAATCCCTGGGACAAAACCCAGTAACACACTTCATTTTGTTCACAAAGTTGAGAAGGGCAGGGAAGTTGGTGAAGATGGACTGTAACCAGGTGAAGTGAGAACCCAGGCAGTCTGGAAGGAGAGCAGCCATAAAACACCTGGTGAGTGGAGGTGGGGCAGGAGTGGGTGACACACAGGTGACGTTTGCAGGAGCACAGAGCCCAGACAAGGCAGGGACATTGGGCAACGCTTGGCACCAGCAGTGCTTAGTGTTACAGTGGCCCTTGGGGAGATCTGCATCCACAAAAATCCCTCTTTCATCTTTGTAAATATATAAAAACAACCCCACAGGATTTCTCTTCAGAGCTAAAATAAAACTGGAACAGATACGTACCAAAAAATAATGCAACACTTTCCACATTTTGAAAGACTCCATTGAAGAGTGTGGCATTGTCTAAATGAAAAAATAAACAAACAATGCTTACTTTTAAAAAAATATATAAATTACAATAATTGTCCTCAGACTTCCCTTGGTCTCACTTCAGTTGTTAAACCATTTTGAGATGAGTTCCCAGCTATTTGCTCACACTTCCCTGTGATGCTTCTGGAGTACAAGGATTCCCACTGCCATGAAATATTGCAGAAAGTAAAGCTTAAACCTTTCTTACTCAAGAATCTCTCAGGTGTGTTAAGCAGCTCTGGCAGGAATGCTGGAGGCTCCCGTTCTTGGCCACCTACCTCAGCAAATAAATTTGAGAAGAAAAACATTTAAATGTAAAAAAAAACCCAAAACCCCAAAAATACCCCACCAAACCCCAAAAGATCACAACAAACCAGCAACATATATTTAATTGTGACACACTGCAGGCATTTTGAATATCTTCATACACTGGTAAGCTGATTTATCAGAGACATGAAGTACTTGCTCAGCTCCACCCCCACCCTGGGAAGCCCAGAATTGTACTGGTGTGGACTGGTGTGTACTGGTAATTCACACCCCCCTCAGCTCAAAACCCAGTCTCTGTTGAACAGGTATTGCTGCTGAGGATGAGCAAATCTTTGTCTTCCTGTTCCCATCTGAACAGTAGCCCTTTCTGGGACAAATTAGTAGAATTATATAAAATTGTTTTAGTGCCCATCTATGTCCCAAATACTCTGTAACCCTGTGCCATAATGTGAATCTGGGTTATTTGAAGTGATTTGGTTTTTCTGAGTCCATCTTGGCTTATTGCCTCATTGTCTCTCTTCCCATAACTCTTCATATTTTAAGTTAATTATCTTTTCTTCCTTTTGAAGATGACGTGGTAGATTTGGCATCTTTTCAACACTTCCATTTTTTCTGTTGGCCAAATCCTGAATTAGAGTAAAATATAATATTTGTCCTCTCCCTTCCCATTTTTCACTTGTTTTTTTCCCGTGCATGATTTCAGAAGACAGTGTATTACTTTGGATTTCTTTAACTTTGGCTTTTTAAAAGGAAAGGAAAGTAAAGTAAGTAAAGGGTATTTGCTATATAGAATCTATATATAGAATCTATATGTTTGAAACTGAAAAAACCCATAGTGTTAAATTCATGACATAATTTATGTCTCAGAATAACTGGCATTAAGAAAGCTGTCCTTTTTCTCTAAAAAAATTCTGGGAAAGAGCTGACAGTTCTCTTGCTCATCTGTTCCATTTTCCTGCAATAAATATAGGTGTAAAAGAGTAAATCAGAGTAGTGGAGTTTTAGATAGGAGGCTTAACTCTGTGTTTAACAAAGGATTAGGAAAAATAGGAATTTTTTAAAAGATCATGTATAAGTGCTTTCTCAAGATGTCCACAACTTTTGTGATGTGAACAAGATTTTCATGGTAATAGTCATATCCTCCCAGCAATTAATTTCTCAAGTTCAGTTGCAGAATATGGAGGCAGGATTGAGTGAGTCAGGAAGAGGTGCTTCCTCTTGAGTTATTCTTTTTCCTGAAATTCTTGGTCACAACAAGAAGCTTTTAGATAGAGTAATCCATTAAAAGAGTCCCTCTCTGTAGTAGGACTAAGGGGAGCAAATTTCTTTCCACAAACCAGAAAAAGTCTCCCAAATAAATGCTGGTCTTTTCACAGAACTGGAACAAGTCTGTTGAAAGCTTCAGTGCCCTGAGGATTTCAGCTTCAGGCAAAATAATGGCATGCCTTGCAAAAAACCAGCATTGAATGCTATATTTGTACATATGCTTGCTAAAGAAAATCTAACCCTTATTTTCTGGCTTAAAGCCTGTGTTTCCTCTGCAAAGACAAATGTCACCTGGGCCAGGTTCTGTCAAGTGCAACTGGAGCCAGGTTTGACACCCTGGCTCAAACTGAGTGTTGATGAAGAGCCATTAACTATTTTGTCCTTTCAGCAAAATGTTTGGAAAACGTGAAAATCCCGTAGAGTTGAAATGCGTCAGAGGAGAAAATTGACAAACCCATATTCCAGGGGTGCTGGAAGCTGTGATTGCTCCCCATCCTTCACCTGCACTTAGTTATTCTGAGCAAACTGAACTGTGTACATCCAATTAACACATAAATGTTTGAAGTTCCCCTGGAGAGGAATGTCTGCTCAGCAGTTTGGTAAATCATTGGCTCTTCAAGTCCTCTAATTACAAAAAAACCCTTTTCTAATTGTCACCAAGTCAAGATCAATGAACCAATGTTTGCTAACAAGATTGCTTACTTTTGATTAAATTGGGGGTGTAAGGAACAAGGAAAAAATACTTTCTGGAGTAATTATTCTCTTTTCATCTTTTGGTATCATGTATTTGGAAATACTGTCCTACGTCATTCCCTGTAGAGGCAGTGAAAGATTTCACTACAAAAATCAATCCTTTAAATCTCAGAAGACCCTGGGGATGCCAACTTATCTCACCTCTCTCCAAAACCTGTTAAAAAATTCAGTACGTTTTGAGGAGGCTTTTATGATACATCAGCTCTTGGGCTTTCCCATTGTACACCTTATCCATGGAATTTCTTTTCATGTTCAGTTACATATAATATTGTTTCTGGACTGCATCTGTGATTTTCCTACCTGACAACAGTTTTCTGAAATGTGTATAAAATAAAGCCCATGAAAAAACATCAGTGCGCCTCCAGTTGTCTTTTTCAGCCATGGTTCACTAAAATGTCCTAATACAGGGCATGGATGCTCTCCTTATAATCCTTGGGAAGCAAAAACCTTGACTATACCAGAAAAAGTCAGGGTGCAGCAAACCCAAACTATTTGATTTATTCTTCGTAAATCATATTAATTCCTCTCAAGGATCCTATTTCATGCACAGAATTTGCTTCAGTCTCAGAGCAGAGATCAGCAAAATAAATCCCACAGAAAGATAAATCAATAATCCTCCCCAAACCTAAATGTGGTAACACTTTAAATATTCATGTTCTGATTGTATTTAGCTAAGGGGAAAGAATCTAAACACTGTTGCACAGCATTTTAAGGTTTGGGGGATTTTTTTTTTAATGTTTTGTCAGAAAAATGTATGAATGTCCAGATATTTTAGAGTGCAGTATCAATATAAAAATACATATTTTTAAAATAAATAGGTAGTGCAGGTATTTGGGCATTTGCTGTCACTGCAGTGGGAAATGTGAATATTCTGTCTGATTTCTCTCTATATAGTAGATGCCTTAATATTCATAACTTTAGCCTGTATGTTTTGTGTTAGTCCTGTTTGGTTTCTGAACTGCAATGCAAGCAACCCCTCAGAGGAGAAGTAACTGGTGAAGTTGATGAAGGTCAGTGCAGAATTTTTCTATTCTGGGGTCCTGAGTTTTCTCTTCCCTTTAGAAATATCCCCATGGATTGACCAGAAATGGTGATAGACATTCTGAGAGTCCTTCTGTTGCACATCATAGCTCTTACTGACATTCCTACCCAGTGCAGAGACTGCAGAAATTTGAGATGTTTGCCCATCCCTGACTCAGGAAGTTCATTCACTCATGACAATAAAATATAAAGAGTTATATGAAGAAAAAGCTATTCATACTAAAATTCAAAAGAGGATCTTTAGGTGGACATGGGTTCTATTTCAGGATGTACTGAATGGTTTGGAGAATTAAGACAATACAAATGTATTTAATGACTAGAATCTCTTTATATGAAACTTATAAATTTGGAGTCCTAATGGCTTAAATAATGATGAAATGCTAGCAAAAAGAAGTTGCAAATTTTTTTTTTTGCTGTATATTTAACCCCACTACATATTTTGTTGTTTCACTACAAGTCCTGAGAAAAATACTTTATGAGTATTTCATAAAGAAATGTCTTCAAGTGCATTTGGGTTTTGAACACCAAAATTTGAGCAGAGTGAAGGTGTGTTTCTAAGGGACTGTTTCCAAATGCTCATACTTAAAATAGTATTTTGACATAATGTCAAATAATCATAAAAATACATTGCAACTTACCACTGAACACCACCATGGACATAGACACCAGCAGAATTACAATCATTTTTTGTTTAATCCAAAGACAAGAAAAAAGTCACACAGCAGATTGGTGTGCCTGGTGAGTTAAGTAAAATATTAAACAGAATGTTATCTCTTCAGTCTGGGAATGGGAAGACACCATCTTGGGAAATCATTCCTTTGTAGCCTGGATATATTTCTGCCTGACAAAATTCAGTTTTTACCCTTATCATAGTAAATGTGCATATTACAGGAATGATGAGCCTTATATATCCTTATTTTAGCAATATTGTCTAAAAGTCTGACTAACAATATTTATTTTGGTATTGCTTTGAGCCAACAGACTATGAAACTGCCATGCTGCAATAGAATGGTGCACTTGCAGTTTCTTTTGTTTTGCAAACAGTTTTCACATCTTCCTTCGTCTCATACATTGTTCAAACAATTCTTATGTTTAAATGAAGATATTGTGAAACACTGTGTAAATAAAGTTATTCTGATGTTGCATCTATGGAATTCAGTTTATCCACAATCCATTATATTTGTTTCATACCACAAAAATTTGTAGTCAAACATTTATTCTAATCTGTATTGAGACTCATCTAATATATCCTAATTTTTCCTAATGAGAGATATGGTGTTATTTGGAGATCTTCAAGAAATGGGTATAAAATATTCATCTAAATATGTTGCACTAGTATTCATTAAATGGAAGATGATAGATTGGTTTTTAATTACAGTCACAAATTACTTTAAATCTAGAACAAGTAAGTCAGGCATAGGGCTTTTTACAGCCAAATAAATGAACATATATATATACACACACACACATACATATATCTCACTTTTCAAATATTATTACCTGCTTATTATTATCTTCTTTTCTGAACTCAAATATGGAATTCATTTCTATTAGAAAATCTTGTAATATTTCATCAGGAAGTGAGATGATAAATCTAACAGCTCTAAATATTTATAGTCTATTTTCCCATCTCTTGCCTATATTTTTTGTCTATTTCTCCTAAGTCACAAATAGCTTATTCTACATTGTTTTCTTTTTGCTTCCCTTATTATAGACAACATCCAGAAAGACTTACCTTGAGGGATATTATCCCAAAGCAGCTGGATGGAAGACAAATGAATATCAGAAAGCCAGTACTAACTTATTTATACCCACTTGGATATAGACCTCACCCATGTGATCCCTTCCTTTATCAAACCCACTTCAACATTTATTAATTAATTCCTCCATGAGATTCCTTGGAGTCATTATGCCCACAGTGTATCTGGTAATATGGCTCCAGCCATGTAAAGGATCTATACCGAGAAGTCTGTTCTGCAGGTGCCTTCACCATATCATAACTTTCCCTAATACTCCTGGCTGTAATTAAATAACAGTCATCCCATTGTTATTAATCACTCACAAAATCTCTTGGGCATGTGAATGAGGCTTTAATGGCTTAGCAAGAGGTAGTGTTTGGTGATGAAAGACGAGTGAGAGTTTACACAGCTTTAAGCACTGGCATTCCTCAGGGCTGGAAACTCTTCTTTAATCTATCCACAGTGGCTCTGATCCAAGGCTGAGTGAAATGCAGGAGCAGGTAGGTTCAGTGAGCTTTGGGCCAGTTGCTTTTCATCAGGAAGGTGTGCTTTCTGCCAGGGCCAGACACAGCTACCCTTCAAGGAGTCCATCAACAGAGACAAACTGTCCACTGAACTGCAGCATGGAGAAGTGAGAAGTCTGACAATTGGAAATTGTAAAAAATCCTTACATGAGCAAAAGGCCCTTTGACTCTGTGACCTACAAGGTTTTCAGGAAGACCTTCACAGTCTCCTGTAAGATCTTCATGGAGAAGCTGCTGATATCTGAGCTGGATGTGCCTGGTGAGGTGGTATAAAATGGGCTGGTGGGGCCCCAAGGGCGGTGCCCAGTGGCACAAAGTCTGTTTGGAAGCCAGTGCCTGGTGGTGCATTCCAGCAGCCAGAGCTGGATCCAGCCCTGCTTATCATCTCCTGAATGACCTGGACGATGGGGTAGAATGGACCCTTGGCAGGCTGGCAGGTGACACTGAATGAGAGGAGTGATTGGCATGTCAAAGGGTCATGCTGCCATCCAGAAGGGCCTCAACAGGAATTCCATGAAGTTCAACAAAAGTGCCAAGTCCTGCACCTGGAGAGGTGCAGCCTCATACACCAAGATGTGCTGGTGGCCGCTCATCTGGGAAGGAGCTCACTAAAAAAGGACCCTGGTCCTGCTGGACACAGGGTTGAACAGGAGTAAGAGGTGCACCCTTGCAGCAGAGAAGGCTCAGGATGTCCTGCACTGGGCAAAGTGTTGCCTGCAGGTTGCAGGAGGGGGTTCTGCCCCTCTACTCTGCACTGGTGTGGCCACAGCTGCAGGGCTGTGTCCAGTTCTGGGCTTCCCAGTATAGGACAGACATGGAAAAGTTTGCGACAGTTCAGAGAAGGGACACAGAGATGGTGAAGGGACTAGAACATCTCTCATGAGGAGGGGATAAGAGAGCTGTGACTCTTCGGTAGAGGGGCCTTGGGGGGATCTCTTGGGGAGAATCTCTCAATCCAGTGAGCACCCGAGGGGAGGGTGCAAAGGGGACAGAGCCAGTCTCTGTGCAGGGGTGCCCAGTGACATGACAGGAGGCAATGGGCACAGACTGAGAGCTGCTCCAACAAGGTGAGATCTCCCATGGCATGGCAGTACCACGGCCATGTTATGGCACTTCTTGAACTTCCAGAAGTTCTTGTTGGCCCATTCCTTCAGCCTGTTGAGGTCCTTCTGGGTAGCAGCATGTCTTATTCCCAGCACATGCTCACTGTATGGACATTCCTATTTATTCCATTGGCCTAACTTTCAATATCTGCTGAAATTGGTACCACTCCAATCTATCCTGCTCTTTGACAAGACAGAAGTTCTTCTCCCACGCTATTGAGCTCATCAGTGAAATGTATTTTGGAAGAGAGCTGCATCCCCCCTCTCTCTGGGGTTAGCATTGCTTATATTGCCACTTTCCTCCTTGGCTTTGCCTTTGAACTTTCTTCAGTGAAACATCTATGTGCAGCAGCTATAGTGCAAATAAACTTCTTTTTTAAAAAACAGTATTAATGGCTCGATGATGTACTCTGGGTAGATGTAGCATGATATTGCTGCAACATAGAAAAATATGGGACATGCTATTGATTTGGTTATTCTTTCATTTTTTTTAGAACTGGTTTTTAGTTCACCAGACTTGCATATCAAGGATATGAAAGCAGGGCTGGAAGGGGCCCTGAGAAAACTGATCTGGTGAGGTTGGAAGAAGATAATCTTTAAGGTCCCTTCCAACCCACTCTATAATTCCATGTTTCTATGAATCCTGGTGAGCTCACACAAATACATCTCAAAGTACAAGAGATCCTGTCACTTCCTGGGTTGACACTGCACAACAGGAATTGCTAAAGTAATGGAAGTTTTTGATTTAGAAGATAATCTGCATGTGTTTAACTCCAGAGAGTCCTTCTTGTCTTCAGTATTTCAGGTTGCTTTTAAATTACTTTGCATTTGTTAATTTTGATTACTATGTCTCAAATGTCAATAAAATAAATAGAAACTATTTGCATTTGCTAGCCAGCCATGTAAATATCCTTTATAAAATAAGATTTTTTAAAAGATTTTCAATGTTTTTATTGGAGTTACATCGCTTGTATGAAATATCTCTGTTTTTTAGACATTATTTTTACAATGACTTGGAGGAGTAGACATTTCTAGGTTAACATCTTGTCTGTTAATAGCTTGTCTGATTTAAAATATTTACAAATAACATGTTGCTTTCTGATTTTTACACTGAGAAATCAAAAAGAAAACTAAAACTGCCACCAGTCTTCCAACTTGCAGTAAAATTTCTCAGTGCTCTAAACTGATGTACAGATGTTTTTAAGGCATTTTTGCTTTAATGCTGGAAGAACACAAGAAAATATTAGTTAGAAGAGGTTTTACAAGAAAATATTAAAACATGAATGAAGGTAAAATAATTTGTTTAATGCTTTAAAAATTGTTATCAGATAAAAGAGCTATCTGATGAAAGACAGCAAATATTCTGTGGACATGCAGAAATCTTTGTTAGATCTTCATTACAAGGTATGTAGAGATGTAGAGATATAAAGTGAAAATGTACTTACTGTGGGAGTAAGCAACTCTTTTGACTCTTTCGCAGATATAACTTGCATTTTTCACAAACCAGGAATAGTATTCAACACAGTATCTGAAGATGGAGTTAAAGATAAGAGGCTTCTTATCTTTCATAAGGAGAGGGACTTTGGACAAGGGGAGTGACAAAAAGAGGAGGAATGGCTTCAGGCTGAAAGAGGGCAGGTTCAGATTAAATATTAGGCAGAAATTCTTTACTGTGAGGGTGTTGAGACACTGGCAAAGGCTGCCCAGAGAAGCTGTGGATGCCCCATCCCTGGAAATGTTCAAGGTCAGGTTGGATTGGGCTTGGAGCAACCTGGTCCAGTGGAAGGTGTCCCTGCCCATGGCAGCAGAGTTGGAACAAATGGACTTTAGATCCCTTCCAACTCAAACCAATCTATGATTCCATGATAAGCACAGTATATCATGCTGCTATTACTAAATATGGAAATAAAAAGCTAGATTCCAACCTCAGTGATGTCATTAGATGTTTGGAAAGATGCAGCTGGGCTTTTTCCACTTAGCTGGAATGCTAAAGCCAGATCAGGTACTGATCAGTGCATTGGGACACATTTGGGTCTCAGCCAGTGGCCACAGACACTCCAAAATAATAACTGGTGATTGAAAATTGTGATTTGGGAACAAAAAGCCCCAAGGAGTATTTCAAGCAGACAGAGAAATTAAAAATAGTGCCAGGTTTTACCTCATGGCTTCCTTTCTAGAATATCTTCTCTGACCAACACAGAGGCACAGCTGAAAGAACCTACAGAGCTCCATCACACAGGGGTTGATCTTCTGCACTATGAGGGTGACAGGAGGCGAGGTCACACGGGGCTCTCTGAGCATGGCCTGGGGACACCCTG